ATAATTTATTGTATTATTTAAAAAATACTAAATTTAATTTAAAATTCCAGGCAAATTTGCCTGAAAAACAGTTTAAGGGATAGCTTATAAAATATTTTTCACATCTGCTTTTTTTACTTTAACTACTACTAAAGCCTTGTACTTAGATCTTTTAATTTTTATTATATAAACTTTTTTTGATTTTTTTTTATATATATATTTTAACTCTTTTATATTTATATCTGTTAGTAAGTTTTATATTATTAGATAGTTTCTGTTCTTATATTTCTTATTTGTTTTATAATAATCTTTATTTGTTTTTACTTTATTCTTTTTCTATTTTTATTCTTTTATTTAGTTTTTAATATATTGTTTCTTTTTTTCTAATGTTTTTTATTGTATTTTTTTTGTTTTTCTTTTTTGTTTTTCTTCTTATCTTTTGGTATCATTTTATTTTAATTACTTTTTTTCTTGCTAATTCTTTGTATTTCTTTATTTCTGTTATATTTATAGTCAAAATCTACTTTTATTTATAAGTTATCTTTTTTAAAAACTTTTTTAATTTCTTTAACATATTTATTAACTATCTAAAAATTTTTATACACTTTTTTTTTGTTTTTTTAAATACATTATATGTTAGTATATTAGTAAATATACTATTATTTTAGTTATAATTTTTTTTATTTAATGTCTATATATTTTTTTCTAGTAGTATTTTTATTATATCAAATTTTTTTTAATTTTTTAATTTTTTTTGTCTTTTTATTTCTTTTGCTATTAAGTTTTGTCTTAATTCTTTTTTATTCATATTTATATCTTTTTGTTTTTGTTCTTTTATTTGGTTTTTTATTTTTTTTTATTAAATAAATTTGTTTGCTTTTATCTGATTATTATTTATCTAACTTATTTTTATATTTACTTCTTTCTGTAATGTTTTAGTGCTTTTTTGTAATTGTTTTTTGTTATGCTCTTTATTTTTTATTTTTTTTTGTATTATTTTGTATAATTCTCTTAATTTTTTTCTGTTTTAGTTATTTGCTATTTTTTTTCTTTTTTTCTATTATTATTATATCTTGATTTTGTTTTATGATATCTAGCTTTTTTTAGTTATTCTTTTTTTGTTTTTTTTAATAATTTACAAAAAAGCTACTTAATTTGAATTTTGCTAAATAAGTATTGCTATAATTCTATTTTTTTATTAGATATTATATATGCTTTGCTTGTTTTATTAAAAAATTTATTATATATACTATTTATTGCCTAGTATGCTTTTATAAAGATTGTTTTGAATTTTTTCTGTATTCTTTTTAGCAAACTTTTATTTATGTTGTATTTTAGATGCAAATTGGCTCAATTGTTAATTAGGGTAGCCCAAATTGCAATTTGATTTTGGGCTACCAATTTTGCCCTATATGCAAATTGCAAATCATATTTATATTTTTAGAAAATAATAAGTAATATATAATTAATACTATATGCAAATTGTAGATTATATTTATATTTTTAGTAATAATTAATTACTGTTTTAAATTATCTTATAATAATATATAATAAATATATTTTATAAAAACTTTTTTTAAAAAAATTTATTATAAAGTTTAGTATAAATTATAGTAAATTATTTTATAAAAAGTTTTTAAAAACTTTTTACTATAAAAACCATTAATTTATTATAAAAAAGTTGTTTTTATAAATTGTATTTAATAAAAATTATTTCTAATTACATTATATATAATCTGAGTTTAAAAATACTAATTATGATAGAATTAAAAATACAATAAATACAATAAGTAGTTTTTTTAATTTTAATTTTCTTTCTTAATAGCTTTACTTAATAAATATACCTTTTTAGCATTTCAAACATTTAATGAAATTATAGATGAATATTTACTATCTTTAATCAACAAACAAGGATCTAAAGCATTAATTTCAGAGAATATTGCTAATAAATATTTACAAATTTTAAATAATCCTTAAGATACTCATATTGCAAACTCTAATATATATTACCAAGTTAAAAATAATTATTTATATCAAAAAGTTGGTGATATTGTAATATTAATGCACAAAGAAAAATCAAACACTTGGAAACCTGTTGCTTTATAAGAGAGATTATATTATATTATTACAGAAAAACATCTGGCTATTGAACATAAAGATGCTAAAGCTACTTACAAACAAGTATCAGATAAATATCATAAAATAAAAAGATACTTAGTTGATAAATTTGTTGAAAAATGTAAAATATGCAAAACTTGTAGATTATCTATTAAATCTTTAGCTATAAAACCTATTATCAGCAAGTTTTTTATATAATGACTTCAAATATGTAGTATAAATTATAAATTGTTTAAACCTTATTTTATATTATAAACTTATTTATCATTTAACTAATTTTTTTATTTATTTAAGTACTACAAAGAGAAAATAAAAATTTGGGCTTTTCTTTTTGCAATATATAATTTTTTTTATTAGATCGATCTTATAGATATGCAAACTAGAAAAAATAGTAAATTTAAATGGATAGCATATACCAAAGATCACTTTATATGTTTTTTTTAGGCCTGCATTCTTACAAATAAATGTATAGCAAAAGTGGCTATATTTTTGTTTGATATCTTTACTGTATTTGGTTTGCTAATCTTTCTACATAGTGATAATAGGCATGAATTTACTGCAAAGATTATTAATAGTCTTACAAAACCTTAACCAAGTTTTAAAATTATTCATGAAAAGTCAAGAAGGTCACAAACTCAAGGTTCAGTAGAAAGAGTGATCTTTGTATTAAAGGATAAACTTGGAAAGTGGCTTGAAGATCAACAAAATAAAAACAATGATCTATGTTGAACAATTGGTTTGGCAACTATAGTTCATTCAATGAATTTATCTATGTGTTGTGCTACTAACAAAAGGCCATTTGAGTTAGTTTTTGGTTATAAACCTCATAGTAATTGTGTTTTTCTTGACCAGATTTGATCTCAAGGAATTAGAGATAAGAAAAATATTTCTAAAGATGTTCAAATTGAAAAGTATTATGATATTCAGTTTAATAATAACAATGAGGATAATATTCAGGTAGAAAATGATGAAGATGATGACATAAATGATGTGTTTAATGAAAATTGAAGTAAAAATTTATTACAAAGTGAGAATAATAATAGTGATACTATGTTTTTTATAGTAAGCATTAACTTTATTTATAGAGGTAGAAACAAGAAACTAAATAAAAATTTATTTCAAATTTTTAGAATTCTTTGCCTAATAGCATGCTACAGTATTTGATAAATATTAAGAGTATCTAAAAATTAAAAGTACTTATTCTAAAATGTGAATTATTTAAAAGTCTAGAATTTACTGCTATCACCTAGCATTATGGTAATATTAAAATAAGAAAAAAAATAAATAAATATAATTAAGTATTAAAATGTTAAGTTGTTCTTAATTTAACAAAAAAAAAAAAATTCAGGATTGGTTATTATCGTCACCACTATATAGTGTCATAATAATATTAGTATTGAAAATTTATAGTAATTGAGAGTGGAGTAAAGTCTAAAAGAACTTCAGAATTAACCTATATGTTATCGATTTAACTCTGATTTGAGCCTCTTTGTCAAATAGGTTCTGTTATAGTGTAGAATTCTAATAAGCTTGTAGAAGACAAGGATTGAAAAAAAAAGAAAAAATTTGTTAATCATTTGTATCGATTGGAGTTGTCATTAAAATCTTTTATTGTAATTATATGCTAATTATTACTTTTTGCTTAAGTTAACTAATTTATAATTGTGTTTTGTGTAGATTTGAACTGTTTTGGATAGTTTGAAGATAAGTACAGTATAATGAAATTATACAAAGTTTGTTATTGGCAGAGAGGTGAAAATCAATGCATATTGCAGTGCCTAGAACAGTTTGTATATTGTATATATAAGGTTAAAGTGAGTTATAAAGCATAATCACAGTACCTATACTGGCTTTATATTGAGAGTTGTCTTTAGGTATAAAGTTCAATATATAAAATTTATATAATAGATTAGAGAGTTCTGCAAAAGAAGAGTTTTTTAGTTTTGTTTCTATAATATAAACTATGTGGTAATTATTTTTGGCACAATATTTAAGCCAAATTTGCAACTTTAGTAGGTCATTGAGTTCTTGAGTATTATAAATAGCAATGTTAAGATAATCTTTAATATTTATAGTAAAATTGTTTGTTAAGATATCTAGTATTTTAGTTAAGTTATTGTTGTCTATTTAAAAAGATAATAAATTTGATCTTAATTGTGTAGTGCTTATAGTTAAGTAGAGTAATTATCAAAAATATTCCAATGAGAGTTAGGTAAGTTGGAAAGTTCAAAGAGTTGTGAAGATAAATCTTGAAAAGAGAAGTAGTTATAAAGTTGTGAAATATTGTCTTCTATCTGTTTATATAATGTTATTAGTAGTTAAATATTTTGAAATTGATCAAATTCTCTTAAACATGTTTGAATTTTATCAAGACTTGAAGAAAGGTTTGGTTTTATATTTTCTTTTTTTGTAGTATCTTTAATTGAAATCTATTCTGTAGGTAGTTGATAAAAGAAATAGTATGTACATAGTTGTTTTGCAGTTTTTATTAGGATTTAAAACTTGTAATAAAGAGTGTTAAGTTGAGCTCTATGATTAAATTAGGATTTGTAAGTAGTTAAGGTTTGTTTGTAAAGCTAACAGTTATATACTATAGTGGTAGTAGAATATTAAACTTATATGTATCTTGTATTTCTGCTAGAAATTCTTTTGTCAGGTAATAATCAGTTATAGGAAAGTTACAAGTAATAGAGGTTTTAATTTGATTTGGTTCTTTTGGCAGTAGTTTTTTTTGGATAACATAGTTATTTGGAATTTTGTAAAAACTATAGTGTTCTTAGAGTATGTTTATATATCATTTGAAGTCAGTTGCATCTTTAAGATTGCAAGAAAAAAAGTATCTTACAGCTAAATTAAGGTTTTGAGGTATTGATGATAATGGTTTTCAAGTGAATAGTAGATTAAAATAGTTGGATGGTATATAGTCAAAGTTATAATATTTATGTAGTTTTTGTCTGTATTTTGCCAAATAAGATAGTTCAGATTGACTTGTTATTAGAAATATTGTATGTATTTTTTCATTTAGATCAGTTGAGTTATCAGAAAAGAGAATGATAGAATTAGCAAAGTAGTTTTCATTGAATTGGTCAAAGGTGTAGATTTTATAAAGTGCTAATACTGTTGCTTGAGTATATTTTTAGTCTTTAATTAGAAGTAGAAAAGGAAGTATGTTTTTTATGTTTTGGTCAATTAGGTCTGAAGAGGTTAGTAGTGAAATAAGAAGTTAAGAATATGCTTCATTAAGAAGTTTGTGTGTTTCTTTGAAGGTAAGTGCACAAGAGATTTGTGCAAAGTTGAGGCAGTAAAAAATGTGGCTTGTACATTCATAAGAACTAGTTGTAAGAAAATCTAAATTTTTAATAAAATCTATCACTAGTTTAATTTTGAGTTTTTTGTGAATTTGATCTTTATTGATTTGTTAATCAAAATAACATTATATAATTTTTTATATTTTTTAAGAGTAATTTGGTATAGAAAGTTGAATTATTTTTGGTATTGCAAAGCTGTAGCTTTTGTTCTAATAAATAAGTAAAAGAATACTGTGTCTAAATAATTGAATTTTTGGTTAATAGCATATAGGATGTTGTGATTTGGAGAGATAGTTTAAATTTTGTAAGTAAAGAATTATAGGAGTTGTTGTTTGTTGTTGAGAGATTCAATCATTTTATCATTATTCTAAGTTTGAAGATTAAAGTTAAGTACTTGTCTTGCAGCCAGAGCTTTAGTTACAGAATTGCATTAATTGAAAATTGTGTTGTTTTTTGGTTTTGGTAAGTTTGATGTTACTGCTTTGTTATATAATTTATTAATAGCAGGTTGATAATCATTAGAAGTGTTAGAGATGGTGTTCATGTTGTCAATTTGTGTAGTTAATATTAAGATTGATTGAGTTAGTAGATTTTCTGTAAGTGTAATTAGTTCAGAGTTTTATAAATTGTTTTCTGGAATAAAACTATTGAATACAGATACCAAGTGTAATGGATCAGATAATGTAATAAGAAAGTTTTGGAGCATGGAAATGTTTACTGTTTGGGCATGATTGTTTTGGTAACTATAGCATGTAACATTATTTGGAATTTTGTAAAGGGTAAACTAGTTTGTCTACTTTTTGTTAAATTTTTTTGACAGGAATAAGATATAAAGAAAACAGATAAGTTAGAATTGTTAGTTTTATTTTTTTTTTAAGAAAAAAAAGTTTGTTTCTAGTTCTGCATTTTTTTTGGATTTTTTATTTTGAGAAACTTGAAGTATAACTGATGTAGCTTGAGTGTTTAGCTAAACTAAGGCCCCGTAGGGATCTATTTGTAAAGTAAGCAATACTGAGTCAATGTTAAGAGATGTTTTGAAGTCTTGTAGTTTAGTGGTTGAGGTTCTTTGTCTTTTGACTATATTGAATAAGTCTTAGGTATTCTGAAAGTTTATTTTCTCTCTTTTAAAGTATCTTTTGTTATAATTTTAGTTAGTAGGTTCAATATTTCTGTATTAATTTTTGTTTACTTTTTGTTTTTTTAATAATCTACAGAAAGAGTTTTTTTTAAATTAATTTATGTAATTTAATAATATTTAAAAAAGTATGCTAAATAGGCTACAAGTTAAATTTAAATAGCTTGTTAAAATAGATTAGGTTAAGTTAAAAATTATTGAATTTAGAAATTACTAATTGAGAATCAGTGAAAATATTAATTACTGAATTGTAAAAAGTTGTTAAAATTGCAGTAATAATTAAGAAAAGCTTAACTTTGTATAATAAAAGTTAGAAATATATTTTAATAGATAAAAAGTTAATAGTTTAATTATTGTTATTAACTTGAATTCAACTAATATTCATTGTGCATTGGTCAATACTAATATCAATTACTGAGTTATTAGTATAAAATGATAGTTGTTAATAAGAATAATTATAATAAGAGATAAATATAAGTTTGTTAATAGCTTTATTTAAAATAAAAATTTTAAAAGTAATTAAATTAGTAATAGAAATAATAAATAAGAAAAAAGTACAAGTTGTTATTATAATACAAGTTGAATTGTATATATAAAAGGTTTAAATAGACAAAATTTATAATTAGTTTGCAAATATAACATCTAGTATAAAATTTGTATAATAATATATAAGTAAACTATTTAAATTAAGTACCAAGAGGTGTAGTGACTTAGTAAAGTAGATAAGTTGTCAATCCTTCAAGTAGTAGATAGTGAGTTCAAAATCTACTGATAGTAAAATTTTGATAATCACCTATATATTATATAGTTAGTATTATGATAATAATATTCAGTTAATTAGTTAAAATAAGATATCTGTAACTACAATTACACTAGCATAACTGGCAAATTATGAGGCATCTGTGTAATATTAAAGTTATACAGAAGAATGCAAACTGGCATCAGGCAGTGCAAACTTAAGATAAGTTCTTGTGGTTATATAAATCTGTAGAATTAAGAAGCCAAAGCTCACTTGGAAAGACCTGAGTAAAAACCTGTATAAAGAGATAGCATGGATTTTTGACAGTATTACTGTAAAGGCTAGATCTAGAAAACAGATATTAATATAAAAAAAATTAGACAGACAAGAACTTCAGATACAGGGTATTATCAACCAAGCTGTCAAAAATCTTGAACTAGAGGAAAAAGATCTTGAAGGGCAGATTCTAGAATACCAAAGACAGGTTATAGTTCTTTTGAGCTATCTGGATTAAAAGTCTAAGGTCAAAAGCAGAGGTATACTATAAGTATTAGAGATATATTATGAAGTTAGTATTGGGGTCTGAGTGAACTTTGCAAGAACAAGTCTTGTTAACAAAAATATTAAATATAGGTAGTTAATTAGCAAAAGGCTCTTTAAAGTCTTACAGTTAGATAATGTATTCTGAAATATATAACAACTTGATAAATATACAGAAAAAAAGATCAGAATTAAATTAGATAGCATTTAGATGTACAGGAACTTGTATGCTATTTGTTAGTATAAGGATCAGAATATTTAAATAGATAATCTTTTAGTAGATTGC